CCCCAAAACCCCAAAACCCCAAAACCCCATAAAGGAGAAGACATTTGAAATATAAATAAACTTTATAATAATTCCGAATGGACTTTTGTTTCTCAAGTTCCCAATCAAGCCTGTTTTCAGAATCTCCTCCTCTGTTCCAGAATGTAAGCCTTCTTATTTAGCCTCTTCGTTTGCTCATGGAAAATTTAGGCTAGGTTTTGATTAACGACTGATGCCTCATTAGATTTCCTGTGTTATCAACTCTCTGCTCTAATTCAAGTTTTATTAATTATGGTTTAGGAAGCAAGTGTACAAAATAACGAAGAGCAAATTTCAACTTGGCTGAGACCTTCTGATGAATCTGCGCAATTAACTTCGCCTACTCTGCTTAATCAATTTATGGATGATAAGCACAAGCTTGATTATACGATCTTTTCAAAAGACTATTACGCCCATGACTTATTTGGAGCAATCCCTTATCAAGAGTCTGAACTCGAGTATCAAGTTCAAGAATCTCGACTAGCCACTGAAAACTTAGATTGAACAATCAGAAAGAAGTCTGCTCCAATAGACTGCCAGAGGCCAGACATCCCCAACAGGAAAATGTTGAGGCTTGTTAAGAAGTTCTTCAACGAGTTGTTTCTGTTCCATAACGACAAACTTAGAAACAGACGACTCACCATGGTTCACTCCTCTGTTACTTTGGAAGCTCTCAGGCAGTTGGTCAGAGTGTACATGCCAGATGTTTCAGCAGAGTCTATGGCTGAATTTCTGTTTAAGTTCTTGAACATACATTCAAAAGATTCATGTCAGTTGGAGTCGGATGCTGCAGGGCAAGGATTCCGAGTGTATCAATGCTCGTACAATTACAGAAGACAAGAATTCATACGTCTACCTGAATGTGAATATTTCAGACATCTGATCATATCTTACATGATCCTTAAGAACACTCCTTTATCGTCAGTGTGAAGTTTTCGGTTAGACTATGTCTGGGAGAACCAATTCCATACATCTGAAGCAAAGCTTACTAAAATTTTGAACAAGTCATTGTACAAGAAAGAAGAAGTTCTGGTTGAAGAGAGCCTGCAAAGAACATATGAAGAATGAACTCAGCCAAGAGAAATCAGAACGTATTAATATTAGCTTTCATCAATAAAATTTTCAAGACAATAATTCTTCTTCCTTATTTTAAATTTAAGCTCCAAGCCTACTTAAGTTTTAAGCCAGATATTTCAGGTGAACCTGTTTGTCTGAAGCAAGATGATTCGTTGAGCTTTAAAACTCTTTGTTATATGGTCATCTGCTTGAAATATCACTAAACCTGAAACTTTTGGGGAGGTGAAAATTATTTATGAAAATTAGTACATTTGCTGTTGGTCTCAATATTTAATTGTTCAACACCGAGGGCAAAATAATATGTTCAAATTAACTTCAGACTTTGCCTTTCTTATATCAAATTCATTAGCTTTGATAATTATTGGCAAGATTTGTTGCAATAGTTGAGGTCACCCTTTCTCATAAATCTAAGACTCTGAAATAATTAGAATTATAATGAGACACAATAATGAAGCAGTTAATAAATTTTTCCATGCAAAATTTTTAAACCGTTACTCTGGAATGCTTAAGAAAAGAGGTCCTGAATTAACTGCACCTTTTTACAGAAAATTAATCGACTTGGTCTGCTCTGAAATTGGGATTTCTGAAACCCCTCTGGACTATTTCCATTTTATGTGTATAGGACTTCTAAATTATCATATTTCGAAGTTGAGTCATCATGTTGATTCTTAATTCCAAAATCCCTATCACTTTCGATGGCAAAATGTAGAACTCCCAGTCAACTATTTTTATTCTGGCAATTGTAAAAGAGAGAATATGCTGTGTATTATAAAGATGGTATATTTCCTATTGAGTTAGGCCTATTTCTTTATCCTTACATCTATAGGCTTGATAGTTTTTATTGACGCTTGGAGAAATTAACTGCTCCAATAACAAAATTTATTTCCATTTGAAAAGTATTATTAAATTCCGATTAAATAGAACTTGTCAGTTCCGGATTCCACACACTTTCGGAGATTGAAACAGCTGGAAAGAGAGTGCATGCTAAATTTGTATTTCACCCCACCACTTCAGGCATTCAGAGTATCACGGGTTAGGCCTGAAAGATTAAATTTGTACTGGAGTTGAGGCTTACTATTGGCACTAGACTCTTTTAGAGATTTCTAATTTGTATAAGGGTCATATTTTAAGATTTCTATTAATTTAGAACACTCAATGGATGAAGAAGCTCAACATAGCACTCAACACTTATTAGCCAAAGCACAAACAGGATGGAGAAAACCGTCAACTTGATTAATAGTCACTCTCTGGTGAAGACCCGAGATAGAAATATTCAGTTTTTGCTCTATGAGGAGGAGTAATGCCGCTAAGACTTCTAAATCGTGGTTTTGATTCCTGATGCAAGTGAAGAGCTTGTGTGAATAATTTTAAAGCAAATGGGCAAAAGTTTACCAGCTTTGTCTCTCAAATTGACGAGGCAGACTGGAATATAGCTAAGTTCAGGGTGATGTTCTTATTTTAACCAATAAATTTCAAAATAATTCCAGTTGATACACTTACTGCAGATCAGGTGGTTTATGGATGGTCGGATGGTTTACTCCCGCCAGGTGGTTTATTCCAATTCAGGAATTTAAACACGATTATCAACTCTGCAGTGGTTGTAAGAAATAGTACCGTGGAGATATTTAAGATAGGCTATCGCTCTGCTTGGCTTAGCTACAATAAGTGCAGTTAATTTTAATATTTCCCAAAATTGATAAGTTTGTACAATTCTGCTTTATAAACTTAACTTTATAAATAAAGAGATGTAAAGATGGATTATAATCCCACTTTTTCTGATCAGAGGTCTCTAAGAAGTGTTTTATATTCATAAAATTTTAACAGAATATGTTGTAGCTGGAAGCTTTGACTTCTTTAATAAAAATTTAATTTATTGATCAAGAGTAAGTTAGAAGAGAAAAGATTATTCTTAATTGCACCTTTTTATTGATTGCTTACTCTGACTTGCTAGGCTAAACCAATTTAGTAAGACAGATTATTGTATTTTTAATAAAGATATCAAGTGTTTTAAAGAGAAATCATAGAGGTTAGCAAAGGTGCACTTAATTCTTGGTAAACTGAACTTATCTTCACAACTCGAGAAGCTAAATATACGGCTGCTTTCTGTCTTTGCTAAAGATCCAACATGGCCAAAATATGTTAAAAGAGAGAAACATGAGTGGTTTTTCCAGATAAGTAAGGAGATTCCAGATATTATTTTCTTGAATTACTGCAGATATTTAATACCAATGACATCACTGAGCCAAGAGCAATTTAGCCAGTCTGAAAGACTTTATAAAGCCTTATGGAATTTCTACTAAAGTTCTAAACATGTTTAAGAAAGCATTGTGTCTGCACTTGATGTAGTCAATCCAAGAAAAATGGAACAGCATTTCTACATAAGCCAGGTGAAATAATTCTTTGTATTGTCTGCTTACTTCGAGAAGTTTAAACATCTATTTTGTTTCAGTTTGCCACGGACTGTCTGGGGTTTTGGGGTTTTGGGGTTTTGGGG